TGCTCGGGATTTGACGATCATGTCGTCCATATATACCTCGAGCATGTCACCGATCTGTTTGTTGAAAACTCTGTTCATCATACGTTGGTAAGTTGCTCCGGCATTTTTCAGTCCGAAGGGCATTACGTTGTAGTAATAGTTGCCCGAGCTGGTCATGAATGCCGTGCAGTGTTTGTCGCCCAGAGCCATTGGTATTTGGTTATATCCCGAGTAGGCGTCCATGAACGATAAAGTCTTGTAGCCGGCCGAGTTGTCGACCAGCATGTCTATGTTAGGTAAGGGAAAAGCATCCTTCGGGCAAGCCCGGTTGAGATCGGTATAGTCAACACACATTCTCCATTTTCCATTATTCTTTTTCACAAGTACAACATTTGACAGCCAGGTGGAATACTGGGCTTCAGAAATAAAATTTGCCTCTAGAAGGTCTTTTACAGCTTTTTCAGCAGCCTCCGTTTTTTCGGGAGACTGCCTACGCCTACGTTGTACTACGGCCTTGGCGGCTGGATCAATGGCGAGGTGGTGACAGGCGACCTCAGGGTCGAGTCTGGGCATCTCCGCGGCGCTCCAGGCGAAGAGATCAGCATTCTCGCGCAGACAGGCCTTGATTTGCTTCCTGGCCAAGTCGGGGAGGTCTTTACCAATCTTCACTCCCTTGGTCGGGTCTGTGCCGAGGGGAACGAGTTCAAAATCCCCGTCCAGAATTGGTCGGAGTGGGATTTGCTCGCTGCTGGATGGCTCGTCCTGATCAAAGCGAGTGTCGAGGGCTATGGAGTCGACCTTTGGTAGGGCCTTCTGGACTTCTTCCTCGGGGGACGCTTTCCTGTCGGGCTCCTGTTTTGTCCTCTTGGCGGGTCTGGTCCCTACGTCGACGGTATCCCGTCCCTTAGAAGCAGCATTGAAGCACCTACGGGCAGCGGCTAGGTCTCCTTGGATGGTGGCTACCCGTGCCCTTTTGGTGTAGAACTTCATCTTCAGATGGACGGTCGAGGGCACCGCCGTCAGCTCCTCCAGTGTCGGTCTCCCCAAGATGCAATTGTATAGAGACGGGCAGTCAATGACGAGGAAGCGGACCTTAACCTGTCTCGTAGCCGTTCCTTCGCCGAACGTAACCAGGAGCTCGACATAACCCCAAGGTTTGGAAGTCGAGCCGTTGAAGCCTTGTAGATCCGACCCCTCATATGGAGAGAGATGTGAGTCGTCCAGTTGTAAGGTCCGGAACAGCTGGCTGTACATCACGTCGACGGAACTCCCTTCGTCGACCAGGATGCGATGCACGTCAAAATTGGCCATTTTTTCCCTTATTAGTAAGGGGATGACCGCGTTCGGGGCTCCGCCGGGGAGTTCTTCTAGGTAGAAGGTGATGGGCTCTGACCTGCCCTTCACCCTTTCGAAGGTTATAGTTTGCGGGGGAGCTATGTCGACCAGCTCGTCCAACTTCCTCTTAGCTGAATTGATGGTGAGGTCGTTGAACCCGCCCCCGTTGATGACCATGGCGGAAGGAAAGTACTCCCATCTGCTGTGCGTTGTCAGCGGCTCTTGCAGGAGCTCGGGAATGTCGAAATCTTCGGGCCTGGTTACCGAGAAGGCGGTCTGGATAGGCACCGACTCGTCTGATGGTCGGGCGTCTTCTTCGGGCTCCTTGGTTTCATGGGCGTCACGACGAGGAGCGTCGTTTCACCTGTACTGTGCGAGCCTCCCTCCTTTGATGAGGGTTTCAATGGCGTCCTTGAGGTGGACGCAATCCTCTGTCAAATGACCATGACTCCTATGGTATTGACAGTATTTATTTTTGTCCGCCCCTGGCTTGGCGGGAGTAGGTCGGGGACGCTTGACGCCACCGTCTCTAAAATATGTACTGGCACACTCCGCTAAAATGCGCTCGCGGGAAGCTGTGAGCGGAGTGTACTCGGTGAAACGGCCCGAGGGGCCCCTTTGTTCCCGGACTTCCCGGGGTCGATCTTCTTTCCTTTTCTCCCCGGTACGTCGGGGAGGAGGCTCTTGTCGTGAGCTACTGTTGTTGTTGGGACCGCGAGCCCTGGAGTCTCGGGCCCTGTTGGCAGCTTCCCTCTCCTCGTAGTCCATGTATGCTCGGGCCTTGTCGAGGAGGGCATCAAAAATTAGAGGTGGCTCAATACCCACAGCCTTTCTGAATTCTGTGCCGGGGAGGAGACCCCTCTCCAGCAAGTATCTTTTCATATGGTCCGCGCAGGGGACCTGTATTGCTTCTCGATTGAAGCGGTTGATGAACTCCCTCAAGGTTTCATCCTGTCTTTGGATGATGGCCTCGAGGGCCGCCTCGGTCTTCGGATGGCGCCGAGAAGCTGTGAAGGAACTGATGAACTGGTTCTTCAGGTTCCGCCACGACGTGATTGAGCCCGGGGCGAGTCCTTTATACCAGTCCATGGCCGCCTTCCTGAGAGTCGTGGGGAAAAGACAGCACTTGATGGGGCCCCCGACATTATGATAGTGGAGCATGGCTTCGAACCCGTCAATGTGGTCGACCGGGTCTGCTACTCCGTCATACTCCTTCAGATGCGGAGGCTTCTCCATGCCCGGGGGGATGGGTGCATCCATGATGGCCTGCGACAGGGGACCGCGGGGGTCGTCCTCGTCGCTCCTCTCCGGAGAAAGAGATGGGGACCTGTAGTTTTGTCTGGCACGGTGGTCGTGCTGAGTTTCCCTCGAGCGTGATGCTCGGTGGTTGAATGTCACACGCCCGTCCCCGGCGTGCCTCTTGTCGTGCCTTGACGGGTCGCGACTGGGTTCTCCGGCAGTGATGGCGGGCTGTCTCTCATAGTAGGGCCGCCTCTGCTTTGGTCGGGGAGAGGGGCTCCTGGAGTTCTCCCTGTAGTGTCTCCGCGGGGGAGAAGGGTGTCGAACTTCTGTGACTCGAGGAGGTGGAGAATGTGGCCTCTGATGCCTCCTCGGGGGTCGTCGATCATCTTCGAGTGCCCTTAATCTTTCTCCTTGGGCGAAGATGAGATAGTTTGTCTGATTAATGGCCGCGAACAGTGCCTGAGTCGTGGCATCTGCCCCGGCGGGAACTGGGACTTCATGGAACCGGGCAGCTCTGTAATGAGCGAAAGCTACCGGGTCGTCTTCGAGTGCTGGAGGGGTCGAGGAGGATGATGCAGTAGCCCCGTCCCTGTAGGAGGAAGTTCCAGGGACGGTTGTCACAGGAATGGTACTGTGGCCGGGATCACCGGGGTTGTCGAGGTGTCCATTCTTGTCCGTGGTGCCATTATTAGTGTCGGCGACACGGACGTGCTGCTCGTCGCGAGCTGGATCAGCCATGACAGGTGGTTGAATTGAGCTTTGGTCTTTAGAGTTGTTCGTTAGACGGGGAAGCTAGTTTCCCACAGACGGCGCCACTGATCTGACCTGATCAGAAATGGACCGTCACGGCTGGCTCCGAGCAGAAAGCTTTTTGAACGAAGTGGGGGGGTACCTGCAAGGCACTCCGATGCTGAAGTAAGTAGGAGTACGAGCAGATAATAGCAAGTGTAAGGTTAGAATGATGAATACCTGACCCTCTGGAAACAGAGGGTATTTATAGCCCCCAGCGCTGGGCCAAGGTTCCTTCATTGGGCCGGGCAGGTTTGGCCCAATGGAGGAACTGCCAGGTTCTACGTGCGTAGTGGGGACCCGCACGTGGTCCCCTTCCTGGATGTTCTGCGTGAAGTGCGGACGGACGGAGACGCGGTCTTTTCGGAGTATCGTTGGGGGAACAGTGGACTGAGTCTGCCCTAGCTGGGGTGCTCGAGGTAATGTCGAGCTGGACCTCAGGATGTGGTGCTGGACCGCAGCATGTCGAACTGGAGGTGTGCTGTCGAGCCTGCGACTACCCGTCGGGCACGGTCGTGCTCTTTGATCGGCGTGGCCCTTGTAAGTCCATTTGGACTGGGCCTTTGCAATGCTTTTGGGCCTGTCGGGCTCAGTCCAGAACACCTTTTATTCAAAATCTTCCTAAATAATAGAGTTTTCGCAAAATAGATAAAACAGATTTGTAAGATAAAAATGTCACTTTATATAAGTGTTTTTTAAACTCTATCTTTTACCAATGAGAAACTTTGGAATATTTCCAATACTTAGATATTTTTCAAAAAAAATATAATAATAGTACATTATGTAGAGAAGAAGGAAATTTGTTATTTTTAACTTATTTTTATATATTTGAATATTTTAATGGGTGTGCAAGATTGAACAGGGTGTTAGGTGAGTGTTGATGTAAGACTTTATTATAATAGCATTTAATGTGATGCATTGACTTATAATTAATCGTGTGGCAAGACTTTTAATGCAATAAATTGACTATCAAAGTGTCCATGCAAGACTTTATCATAGCAGCCTTTTTTAAGAATAATAATCTAAACAAATATCAAATAGACAAATACAGTATGTAACCATGTAGCACTCAATTTCATCTTATTCCAACAACCCCAAACAAAACTTAATGCATCACAAAATGTATAAGCACTATCAACTGATAGCTCTATTTTCAAAGAGTCAAAACTGTCATCAATTTTGAATCAACTTCAAGGGTATAAATTTCTGCGAGAAATCACTGAAATTGTTTATTTTCCAATATGCAGCCAAGTTTATAACTAATATAGTACTATATATGAAAATAAAAAATAAAAATATAAAAAGATTGTACTAGTATGATACTATATCCAACCAAGTGGTTGTTAAAAGGTTACATCAAAGGAGGGGTCAATTCCTACTTCAGCCATTCATGCTGAAGATAGAGAGAGGATAACCCCACTCACTCCCACCACAAGCACCGTATAACAACAATCTATGCACTTTCTCTATAAGCCATAATAAAACCATCTCAACACATTCTCTCGGTACTTGGTAACTGTGAGATAAAACAAAATATGTCTTAGAATAGAGCAGTGAAAATAGAGAGTAAAACAAAACCTCATTTGAATTTTTTAACATACATGAAACATACCTTAATAACAATAACATGAATGTAGTATTATCTGAAATTTGTTTCACTTATAAGGGGCAAATACAATTGAAGAATTGTGTCCCCCAAATCCAAATGAATTAGATAAGGCAGCTTTGATTTTCAGTCTCTCTTTTGTTGGGCCTACAAGCACTTTAGTGTCCTGTTTTTATGTAATTTAAACAACCAAATTAGATAAATAACATATACAAACGAAAGCGCGGACACACGCATATATGATATTATGACACAACAAAATTTCAATGTTGGAGACCGTAACATACCACATCTTTATCTGGGTTTTCTAGGTTGATATTAGGATGAACCCACCCTGTCCTGATTGCCTATATGTCAAGGAAAATCAAAGCTCAGAAACATTTTAATGTAAACTTTGTCCCATTATTTACATTTCCCTGACAATTGATTTGTGAAATTTCACCTGTACTGTTGCTACAGCTTCTACGCCACCAGATGCACCTAGTAGATGACCGATCATAGATTTGGTAGAATTCACTCTAAGCTGTATAAACATAACATCTTGGTAAGCACAACAATATATACAATGGCATTAATAAAAACAATTAAAAATAGAACATATGTAATGGGTGATGCCGTGATAAGGAACATTTACCTCGGGGTTTTGACCGAAACAATGAATCAGAGCTTGGTACTCCTTAAGATCACCGGCTGGTGTTGATGTGGCATGAGCATTTATGTAATTCACATCCTCTTTTGAAACTCCAGACTGAACTAATGCCCTTTCAATGCAAAGTATTACACCAGCCCCTATTTTTTATTGGATAAAATAAAGAAATACAAGTTCAAGCTTAAGGAGTATCTCGGATGCAAGTATCATTTCTCATAAAGCATATAATTAAAAAGAAATTACAATATTGAAGAGATCTTTATTAGTCCATCACCATTAGTCAAAATGACTAGTCCTACGCGTGAGTTTGTGTTGAGCCCCACATCCACTAGAGATATGGCTTAGGTAGTGCTTAAATTCTTAGAGGATATCATAATCCACCATAAATTTGTCATAGGGCATAGATCTTTGTTATTCCACCCATATTCGCACACGCTTTAGATGTCTAATCATGGGCATGATGGGGTATTACAATCCATGTTATTCCACAACCCCCAGAAGTCCACACTTCAGGACAATGTGGCATGATGTAGTCAATTTCTTTCAATATTTTAGAATTGAAAGTGTTGCATGATGTAGTTAATTTCTTTCAATATTCCAAAGTTTTTAAGATGACAGGATGTCATGTAGTAATGGACATCAAAAAATAAGTAACAACTAAATGCAGCAACCCCACTCATTAAAAATAACCAAGAAAGCATACATAGTACTTTCACCTATTTTCTTTCAAACATGCCAACCAGAATAAATACATATTGGTCATTGCAATAGTAATTGCTGACCAAATGATACATGATGGTCATTTCTAAATCAGTTATTATGAGCTTTGATCATGCAAATTCACAGTCTAATCGATCAAAACAACTTGCAAATGGGAAAAGCTGCAAGGAAGGGAATATTGCATCCTTTTGTAGTATCACGTGAAAAAAATAGTTATGGTGCAAAAGTAGAAGCTCAGCATCCATAACAACAAGAGTTTTCAAAATAAACTCATTTTGATCATACACACTCGTCTTACTTCACTGTTCGCTCTTGCTATCCTAAAGAGTATGGCATTCTTAGACCCAGAGTGCTCACAAATATGTCTACAATAGTTGTTGGTATGGCTACAAATGATTTATGTTTTGAAATCCAATGAATAAAAAGGACCTTAAAGGAGTAAAAAAATTTACCATCAGGATGTGGTTCAGTCACGTGATACGCATCGCAGGTGAAACTTCCACCTAAAAATTCTGCATATATGTCTGCACCTCTTTTCTGCAGGTAAAAAATTGGATGTCACTAGAAAGTACTAAAACAAAAAGTGGTAGACTCATGATATAGGGATCATATAAATTTTAAAAAAGAGTGGGATAAATAGAATTTCATGGTGAAGACAACTATAAAGAACAACCTCTAACAGAAGGTACAATAGATGTAACAAGTGTTTTAATACTACTGGAAGAAATTGAAGAGCGATATGAAACACGAGGTTAGGGCATGTTTTATTCTCAAATAGTCAAATCATTAGATTTTAGATGTACCTTAGCATGCTCCAATTCTTCTAAAACCAAAACACCAGCCCCTTCACCCATGACAAACCCATCACGATTCTGTAATATCATAACCACAAGATGTTGGTTAGTAACAAAGTGCAGGGCAAAATGAAAGAAATGATGAATATACAAATCAAAGCTACAAGAATTGCAATATTTTCGTCTTTGGGACTTGGCAATTCATATAACCATTAATCTGTCAAAAAAGGTCAAGTTTAACGAGCATAAAAATTGACGTTATGTGTCAGCTTAAGGAATTGAGCAAAATTTCTCTGCCTTTTGCTATACTAGATTGGATGCCTTTTTTGCAGTTTCTTTTTGTTCTATTTGCTTATAAATTTCAAGTTGTGTCATCGTATCCTAAATGTATACATATGATATGCAACTTTTGGTTTTTCTGAATCATAATTATAATTTATAAAATGACAACAACAACCAGAATCTATTTCTACTAGGTCGCAGAATAAATGCTACAAAAAGCCAAAAGATTACTATAAAACTCAAGGCATAGTCATCATTCCTCAAGCTAAATATTACAGTATTGGTATTACTATAAATGAGCAACAGGGTTTGAATAAGTATTACAGTATCCCAAGGGCGTGACGCTTTAGAAGGATCAGTATTCTGTTGCGAGAGTGCCCTGCATGCCACAAAGCCTCCCAAACCTGCACCAAATATTATTGGATTAATATCAGAGTTAAGGAAAGATAAGTCCACATAAGTATTTCCATTTGATCCAAAAACAATATCCACACCAGGCAAAAAAAATGAAAAATAAAAAATACCTATTGGTATAATAGCAGAGTCTGAGCCACCACAAAGCATCACATCCTGCAGAAAATTTCATATTTAAAAAAATATTAGAACTTTTTATAAAAAGGAAATATCATTAAACCACGCTAAAAGTCCTATGCAGAAGAATGAAGATAAAGAGAAGATTCAGAAAATATGAGAAACCTATTTATTTCCTAAAAGCAGATATAACAAAGTAAATTACTTACTGCTTCACCTCTGATGATATGATTTGCCGCATTCAATATACAATGGTTACTTGTTGCACAAGCTGTAGAGATAGAATAATTAGGGCCCATCCATCCCTGCAATCCAAATAAGAAATCATTTATTGCACACGGTCCGACAAAAACAAAATTGAAGCTTATGACAAAAACCATAGTAAGTCCGGAAATCTGCATAAACAAACCAGATCCATTGCAAGCATGGCAGAACCCATATTTGTTGTTGCAAAAGGAATACAAAAAGGATTCATCTTCCTATATGATATCCGTAATGCTTCAATGGAATCACTAATAACCTGTTCAATTCACAACACGAACAACAAAACAGTCACACAAATCAATCCAAAAGACCAACATGTGTTGCAAGTTCGTAAAAAAGTTATGGTGCAGTGATTAGATGTAAAATCAAACTATCGAATGTGAAAAGTTTTTTTTAAGTGTTGAATCTCAACATGTTTGAGAGTAAAGGAAGGGTCACCTTCATGCCACCTAATGCTGAGCCAATTAAAACTCCACATTTGGTTTTCTCTAACTCGTCCATCACATCTCCAGTAATTCCAGCATTAATCAATGCTTTTTTTCCAGCTGCTAGCAGATAGAGCATAAATTTATCCATTCTCTTTGAAAACTTTGGTGCTACCCAACCGTCAGTTGAAAAAGACTTAATTTCGCCAGCAATCCTCTGAAGATAGAAAATATTGAGAACAAAAATCTGCAGCAGGCATCAACTGGAAAATACAGATTGAATTAAATATAACTTACTGTTGGAAATTCTGCACAATCAAAATTCTCAATCTCACTTATACCACTAACACCATTGAGTAGATTATTGTAGAAGACATCTGGATCATGACCAAGTGGTGTAACCACACCCAACCCTGTCACAACTACTCGTCTTTGCTTTGTAGGAAGTTTTTTCTTTGTTGTTACCTCTTGGGCAGGTTCCAAAGCTACTGCCATTGTTTTACCTTGAAATTTGACCATTCCAAGGCATAGGTCAGCATACAACAATTATAAGATGATATAATGAAATATGATTAATGGAAAATAAAACATATTGTTAACCCGTCTTGCTTCTTCTATACACCAACCCAATCATGAAGTTCAAAAACATAAAAACACAAGGAAAACTAACTATTCAAGAAAGTAATACCATAGGTCTTGTGGGAAAGTACATTCTTATTTTTAACATTCGTCTTGATATGAAAACTTGTCATATGGAAGCAGATTTGGCTCATCAGAAGTGACCTAATTGTAAAGCAAGTAATCTCCACAGTTGATTTTCTCACCAGCAGTTGATGTTACGTAATGTCACGTACACGTGCATAACAAATCATGGATGTGTTTCATGTGTTAAAAAATCTACTGTATATTTTCTCATCAAAAGTTGATATTTCTTACTTTACCCTCTAAAGTGAAAAGTCAATAGTACTCACTTTCCCCTCTAAAAACTGAATTATTTTCTTTAAAGCAAAATCCTTCAGAAGCCGTTAAGGACCGAGTTTCGGACTAAGCCTAACAAATGTGCTATATAAGGGAGTTGGTAACATTAACGGATGTGGCTAGTTTATCAGAGGAGAATAGTGAGAATAGTCTCATCTCCAAGGAGTTTTGCGTTGAGATTACAGAAAATCGAATCTCTTCAGATAGTTGAAGATACTGAAGAAAAAGGAGACAAACCACTTATGATACACCTTCTACATAAATTCATCGATAATAACGAGGAATCCCACCGCACGAGTTATAACATACATGAAAATTCTACACACATAAGAAAGAAAAGAATCCCCCTACAAAAACAGAGACAGAGACTTGGCCACGCCCATACGCAAGGTCAACATTTTAAATTCTATACTTCAAATGAACCATTAATTGAAAAGAAGAAAAACCACAAAACACATTTCTATCTTGTTTAAACCAACTTCATGTACATGTGATGAACAAACAATCTAGACGAAACCGCAAGAATACCACCTAAAAGTGAGAATTAGAATAACAATAATAAAAACAACAACAACTAGATGTAGAGTCTAAAATTGTTGTATACGATATGTACGAGGTATGAAAAATTATGGAGAGTTAAATAGCACATGGGTACCACCTTACCAACCAACCGTATTATAATTTTTCTTTCACACAATAGCATAGCAGGTAAACAAACACAAGCGTGAAAAAATTGAATTATACAAACAACCCCACATAAAGCAAAACCAACCAAAGAATCAAAGATCCAAATCAAAATCATTAGCATTTAATAAACAACAACACTATTTAATAAAACAAAATAAAAATAAAACCCAGATTTGACGATTAGTGAAAATGATAGAAGATTAAGGTGAGATTAGTAAAGAAAAACAAGATTACCGGAACGAATAGGTTTTGGTATGTGCGAAATGGATCGAAAGAGAGTGTTAGTGTTGTTGTTGTTGTTGTTGTTGAGATGGAAAGACGAAATCGAATAGTTGTTGATTCTGCGAGAGTAGTGAAAAGAGGTTCTGATACGGTCAGGGTCGCTGCACGTGAGTGACATGCAAGAAGAAGTGGTGGCGGTGGCGGTGGCGGTGGCGGCCATTGAAGACGACGGAGGAGAAGAAAAGATCGAGGTTGATAAGAGTAGTGACGAAAATGAATGAAGTTGGTGGGTTTAAGAAGAAATTGAAGAGAGAAGAAGAATGATTCAATGGATCTTGTTGATTCTTGTTGTTCTTCTTCTCTCTTTTTTTTTTTTATAGTAGTGTGGGAAAATTTAGTTATTCATTCACTCTCTTACTGACTCTCACATAAAACTGTTTTCAAGACTAAGGATGAAATGTGACTGCTCTTCCATGCTACCTTCTCTCTCACAAAGATACTACATCAAATTAAACGTTTTTTAAATCAGGGTTTTTTCATCAATTTATTTATCTTTTAATTCCAATGTCTAGTTTTGCGTTACTTGCTTTTTTGTTCAACTGGTCAAAATAGGTTACTATTAAAAAATAAAAAAGGAATTTTATTTTATTTTTTTCTCTTTGGTGCTCTTGTAGGATAAATTTCAATTTTACTTGTAGTGTTTATCATAGAAGCTTGTTTGAAGTGCTCAAAAAGAAACATACAAAAGCAAATAATTCATCCAAATTATAATTTATCTACATAACAAATATACAAAACTTGAAGCGAGTTTGTTATTGTTAAAAGGTTACAGTGAAAAATAAAAAATAAAAAGTATTGATACCAAATAATTTAACTTGGAGTTGTTATTCATTTTTGAGATTCACAAACAAATGAATATTATGTTCGATAGTGTGTCACAAAGTTACACCATGTGAGAAGATGGAAATTGCACCTTCAAGTTTAGGTGATTTTCAACGCAAAAACATCCACATCTATCTATCTGCTACAATTTATCAATCCTCCACTGTGTATATTTTGTTTTTTAAAATTTAAATCATTAATTTTATAAATTTTATACATAATTAAAAATTAATAATAATGAGTTGGAATTAATTATTTTATATATGACTCTGACATATCATCAAATACACTCTCATGTCACTAAAAATTGATTTTAAATTAAAAAAGAATTAAAATTTATAAAAAAATTGAAATTTAAAGATCAAAAATCTGGACTTTAAATATAGGAATCAAAACTAAAAAAAATAGCGGAAATTAAACCCACGAATTTTTGGTGTGTGAATCAACTCCTTGCTATCTGAGTCAACCCTGGCAGTCTTCGTTGTTAGGCTTCATCATGGCTCATCATTGAAGACCTTGGTCCAACACTGGATTATAAATACCTTCTCACTTGAGAGGGTCAGGTATCGATTCATTCATATTCTCATACTCACTTACTTGCATTAGCTCTGAACTTCACTTTAGCATCGGAGCTTGCGCCTATGACAATTCCTTCTGGTCAGGTACTGATCTGGACCGGGCATACACTTGTCCCCCGGATGGGAGGCCCAAACCAACACCTTTGTACAAGATCCAAAAGCAGACAACCCAAGTTAGGGACCGTTGGGCAACTCTCCACGTATCCGTTGGGGAACGTGGCCCACGTCCTCACGTCAAAGTCATCTTAACTGCCCTCCGGAAATCACAGGTCCAACCCCTATTCTCACGAAGCAGTTGACCAGGGGGGAGCCCACTTGCTGGACTCTATGCACACGTAAGCCCTGGCAGTTTCCGTTATTGGGCCTCAACGTGACCCAACAATGGGGACCTTGGCTCAATGTTGGGGACTATAAATACCTTCTCTTCTGAGAGGGTTAGTGTGATGCGGTGGGAGAACTAGCTTGAAGGTTTTGCATTTTGTCGCAAATGTCGCGGTTAGCAAGAGTCGCCACCGACTTTTCTTTTATCCAAAAGGAAAGGTAAAAAAGCACAGGAAAGACCTTTGAAATGTTTTCTTGAGTTCGGGGGGTAGATTATGAAAAGGAAAGGTGCTAGCACCCTTTTCATCCATGGTTTTCCATGGGCTCTTAGTTACTTGCTTAGATCACTTGCTTTGGTTTGTTTGAAATGGTGTTTGATGTGATTTTGAAAGTATTTTGGAAAAGAGGTCATTCGTTTAGGCAATCTTTGTAATGATTCTTGTTCGTAAGAATGTATACAAAGATGTTTGTCTTTTGAAAATATTTTCAATGTTTGTAAGATGTTTTTGAAATGTGTGTGTGTTTTGAAAATAGCAAGGATTGTTGTTTGAAATGGAGCAAGTAACTTAGAAGCTATCTACCTACTCAAATGTCTTTCTTGTGCATTTTCTATTCCTTTGACATTGTTGACTTACCATTGATTTTGGTAAGCAACCCTATCTTTGGATGTAAACGGGACGGGCGTGGGTCATCGTATAACTATGATAGCAATGTTGTCAAGTTCTTAGCATTTTTGAGGGACCAAGATCATTTTATTTAGGCAACTTTTGAATAGCGTCATCGAGGGACTATGATCTTATATTTGTTTGATTTTGCCAAGATACTTCGCATGCGTAACATGGCCATTTTATTTTAGGCAACCAAGTGGGAGAAACCCTAAGGGTGCTTGTGTGCAAAATGTATCATTTTCATGCTTTTGATCTTGCATTTAGGGTTTTCTATTTTGCTTTGTTTTGTTCTTGTCATGCAAACCCTAATTACTAATCATGACATTTAAAGCGATAAATTGCGTAATGTAAATATACTAAACTATTACAATAATTTTTATGGGAGGGGGAATATAAATTTGAATGGGGATTTGCACAAATATAAAGCTAAATATATTATTACAACCAAATCGAATTTGCGCAAATTAAATAAATATAATACAAATATTTAGAATGCAATGCAATGTTCATGTTATAAAAATGTTTTATGTCTTGTTTTCGTATAAAAGAATATTTAACTTAAACCTAAAAATAAGGAAAAAAATAATTAATTCTTTTTGAAAGGGATTAAATCCTAATTTTTAATTAAAAGAAAATAATGTTTCATATTATTATTTTGTGCATTTTTGTATAAAAATAATAAATACTATTATGCCTAAATATTAAAAATTAAATATGTGCAAAAAAATAAGTATTTATAAGTATAAAAATATAAAATAAAAATATTAAGTATATTTGATTATTTACAAATTTATTAAGAAAATCAATTATATTTATCAAAATAAACTATTTTTTTCATGTATGAAAATAATTATAAAAAAAAATAAAAGGGTGAAAATAAATAAATCATTTTTTAGTATTTTAAATCATTAAGAAAAATAAATAAAAGTATTAAATAAAAAAATATGAGAAAGTATGAAAATATAAAATAGTTAGCAAAGGGGGTGCAATAGCAAGTCGGGGGGGGGGGGGGGGGGTGTTTAGCAAAAACAAAAAGGCCATGCAGCAAAAAGCCCAGAACCAGACTTCATCCATGTCCTTCGTTCTCTTCTTCATGCCATTCTCAGTTCAACCTGTATCTTCCTTATGCTTGCATAAAAATGAAAACCCATAACATGACAAATGTGGCATTTGAGCTCACGATTCCAACCATATAAATTATGTAACCTAACTATCAAAGATCAAAGAGAATTTTGGAATCCCTAAATCGTGACCTAAAAATTTCAGAGATTTCAAGCTTCAAATTCTCTTAGCACAAGTAATATAAATGCAAAGTAATGATATGTACTGCTTCGTTATGATGAGAACTATATTTTTCCTTCACAAATCGTGGCTTGAGGTTTCCTATATAAAGAGATAGAGTTTGATAAAATACCTCCTTCAGCTGGAATCGTGTATGGCAATGTAGGGACTTTAATGGAGGCTTGATGATTGTTTGAGCTTCCTTGAGCTTCCCTGAACCTATTCCAATCCTTATCTTGCTCTGAGGATGGCTGGAACTCCCTGACCAAGTCCAACTGCAAGCTTCCAAGTTGAAAATGGCAGATGGTGAAACAGAGGTTACAGAACTAGGGTGATGACTTGGATTGACTAGGTATCAAGTGTATGAGATGTTTGAATCAGTTAAACACAAAACGCACGAGCCAAATGAGAGTTGGCTGAGCTTTTGCAGAAACTGTATGCTTAGGAAGATTTTTGGTGTTTTTTAGTTTGAGAGATTTCTAGGTTCAAGCCAAGCCTGTTATGCCTTGTACAATGTTTGCATATTAGTATAGAAGTGATCCAAAGTCAGCTTCCTACTAGCTGTGCAAGCCTTAGCCCTTTTGCAACTTTTCTTGTACTTGAAGCAAAGTTGACAAGACCAAACCCACATGCTTGTACCAGCTTGCTTTAGGGTTGGTATAAGTTTGTACAAGTTGCTTGAGAGCTGTATAGTTTGCTTGTATCAAGGGGACAAGTTCAATGCTCCAAGTTGACAAAGTTGCAAAAGTGCATCTTTATGAAAATGGCAATGAAGCCTTTTTGCCCAAAATGGAAATACAATTTGTGTAAAGCTTCAAAAGCAAGGATAAAGGCTTTGTCAACTGAGTATGCATTTAATTAAGGAGTGTGTATCAAGCTTAGGACCTGTAAATCAAGAAATGGCCAGCATAGGTTTGGTTTGCAACTTGTTTCTTCATGAAAATGGCTTAAACAAAAGTGAGAAAATGCCAACTTCCTCTCTTCGATTCTCCCTACTCAAAAATGATCTTGGAGAGTTCTTGGACATTTTGGAAATATTGCATATGCTCTATAATTCATATTTGAAATGAATTTTGAGATACCTCTTGGAACTAGGTGAAAATTTTCCATGAAGTTGGGTCCAAAACCTGCCTAAATTAGGGCAAAATTCCACTAAGTTAAGAAGTTCATGGCCCTATATTCACAAATTCATAACTTGATATCCAAGCATCTTTAGAGAAAAGTTTGTGAAGAAAAGTTGTATATTTCATGGAGGACTACAACTTTCATGTTGGGAACTTTTCTTTAATCAAAATGCATCATGGTGAAAAAGTGGTGAAAAGTTGAGAAAAAATAAGAAAATTTTTATACTTAGAAAAATTCTAAGTTATGAAAATTTTCAAATTAAAACCCTAATTTTCAAATTTGGTTTTCTTGGTGAACAAGTTTCATATTTTAACATATCTTGATGAATTATGACTCTTGGTACTTGATTTTGACCAAAAAGTCAA